GCAGCTCCGAAACTGGGGCAAATTCCACCCTTGGCCTGATGGCAAGAGAAAGGAAGCATCACGTTGACCAGAAGGCCAGCTCAGAAAGACCCAGGCAGCTTCGGAAGGAGGAACCGAGCTTTCCCGATGCAAATTTTCTCCAGGCAAATTCACCCCGTTCTGCTTCTGTTTTCAGCCATTTGGCAGCCCCATGGTAAAAAGCTTGTTAGTTGGGAATCTCTGTCTGGCCTTAAGATGGAGGCATCCTTTGAGAGACAGAGGCGACTCACAGTGGCTGGGCAAGCCCACCCCTTTCCCAGGAGGAGTAGAATAATAATTGAAGTTTTTAGAAACTGTGACCTTGTGCTACTTTGCACGGCAGGTGCAGAATGCCTGTGCAAAGAACACACAAAACTGGATTTTTCTGATGAAAATGACATCATAAATATGGAAGCAGAAGTTCCTTGCTTGGAGGGAGAGAGCTCTTCGGCTGCTCCATCAAAGGAGAAAGCAGGCAGGCAGGCAGGAGGCAGCAAAAGAGGGAGGGAGGGAGGGAGGGAGGGAGAAGCGGGGAGAGGGAAAGCAGCAAAGCAGAGTGTGGGCTGAGGGAAAAGGAGAGAAGGGAAGTGGCAAAAGCAAGAGCACTTGAGGAAAGATGCAAGAAAGGGATCACCCTGAGGAGTATTCCAGCCTCTTTGGGCAAGCTCTGCCAGCCTCCCAGCCCCAGCAGGTGCTCCCTGATTTCCAGCTTCTTTGCTGGACCCAAGTCCACTGCAAGATGGACCAGCCAGCCCAGCCGCAATCCACCTCATGCCCCTGCATGGCCCCGTGAACTCACCCAGGGTGGCAGGGCAGGGCACTGGAGGGGTAAATCGCTCCAGCTGTGACTCGAACAAGCAAGCCAGACTGCATAGGAGCAGGGTACCTCACTGGACCCTGAGGGTTTGCAGACCTCATAAGCAGGATCTTTCCTAAAGAAATCCATCTTCCTCAGGGGTCCTTCCCATCAATGCACAGTCCTTTTAACTGGCATTGAAGCTGCTGCACAGTCACTGATCCTAAAGGTCAGGTAAGTATCCAGTGCTCAGGGGCCAAATAAAATAAAAGGCTAAAAGGAAGCTCTCGGCAAAGTCTCAGGCAGAGGAGGGACCTTCTGTCCGCCTTTGGCCTAGTCAGTTTAACCACAAATGCACCTGGGAACTTCTGGCAGCGAAGCAAGGACAGCCCCTCCCTGAGATAAGCGGGCTGGCTTCCACGAGTTGCTTGCGGGGTTTGCTCTGCAGCTTTCCCTTGGGCACCTGGCCAGCCTCTCTGCACACGAGATGTGGCGGCAAAATGGGAGCAGCCCACAAATGAGCCCCCCATTGCAGGTGGCCTCCTGGGGCATTGGTGGGACCCACACGAAACCGGGTCTGACCCAGCCAGGGGACTCTTCTGGGAGAGGGTCAGACAGTGGGTGGCGGTCCATCTCAGCGTCCGTGCCTGGTCCTTCAGCCGAAATCCTCCCCACTTTCTTCCACCCTCTTCTGTGTGGGATGTTGGAAGCTGCCTCAGCAGTTATAGGCAGCCTATAAATCCGTGTACAAATAAGTAAAATATAAATATAAACATAAACATTTCATAGCATCCCAGTGTGGGACAAGGAAGAAGTCTGTTTTAAGAAAATAAGACCAGCAGGGCTGGATTAGACCCAAGGCCTCTTTGGTGCAGCATCCTGTTCCCACAACGACCAACCCACTGCTCTAGTGGAACTCACAAGCAGAATGAATTGCAACAGCAGAATCCCATTTATATTCCCCAGTTTACTGCCTCTGAGCCGCACAGCCATCAGGGCCAAAAGCCACTGAAAGCCACCGCCTCCAGGAAACTGTCCAATCCCCTTCTCAAGCCATCGCCCCTGGTAGCCTTCACCATGCGTTGTTTGCACACCACTGTCATGTCGCTTGCCTTCCTCCCCACCAGTAGAACATCAAAAGCGTTCCTGGGTGTGGGTGGAGGTGCTCCCCCACTTCCATTGCTCTTTCGAGCACTTCTTCCAGCTAGGGCCATGGAGATGTGAGTTCGAATCTTTCCTGTCTAGCTGTTGTGATGCTTCCTGGACTACCCCAACCAGGCCTTTTCTACCTCCACTCAACCTGCCTCACAAGGAAGATTCAAAGGATACCCCTGTAAGCTCCTAAGAGGCAAAGAAAAATAGAAAGGTAATGAACAAAGTCATGATCTTAAATAAAATGGCCTGGCTGGCTGAGGATGGTAGGAGTTGCTGCGTGCAGAGGGAATGTTAAATCCAGAATTATGCAAAGATTATTTTCCAAATTACGTCCTTGGCTTCTGCAGGAACTCAAGGCCACTCACAACAGAAAACTCATTAAAAACAAAACCTCAGTGAAACATCCCATTGACTGACAACACAGTTGAAAACACAAGACCAACAGACTTTAAATAAATGGCACCAACCAAAAGCTTTCTTTGGGCTGACCAAATCAGCACAACATGCTGTCCAAAGGTTTCTGTCCCTGGAGAGTGGACCGGTCTCCGAAGCATGCATTGCCATTCCTGTCCCATTTTCAAGGATGGGGCATCTGGCATGGTTGTGCTATCGCAGCGCTTTATTGTTCTTACTGTAAAATTGCATTCATACCACACCTTTCTTCTTCTGGCAAGGAATTCGAAGCCGCTTTGGGATGTCGTCTGGCAGAAAGCACTTTTGCAAGGGAAGATCTCACGGAGGTTGCCACTTCACGCCTGCTAAGGTGTGATGGTTAAATCCAGTGCTGGAAGAAAAGAAAAATCTTCGGCAGGATGTCGCAGGTGAGAACTTGCGGGCCAGGACTGCTCCTGGGGCCCAGCCTGGAGCTGAGCTTCGCGTGGCGGAATGTGCCCTCGGGGAAAGCCGAGCTAATTCTGCCGCGCACACGCTGGTCCATCGCCTTGCCAGGAGCGCCCCCTGCAGGCCAAGCAGGGTTCAGGAAGGATTCCTAAGGAACTGCGGTCGTGAGACAGGCCGCGAGCATTCCTGCGAAGGCACAAAACGGGAAGAAATTGCAGGCGTTTCAGCTGAGCTACAGAGGCAGTCTGGCCTGGCCTGGCCTGGCCTGGCATACCTTGTATTATTCTTTTTTATTCATTCTTACTGCTAGTCTTTAACAATAATAATGTTATTATGTGTGCATTTGTATTAATACTAATTATTGGGTTTAGATCCCATTTTCTTTCAATCTGTCAAGACCTCAGGGCAGCCTACAAAATCCTTCTCCTCCTTAACCATTTGTCCTCACAACAACCCTGTGAGGTGGGCTAGGCCAAGAGTGATTGGTTGGCCCAAAGTCCCCCAGGGAGCTTCCTGGCTGAGCAGGGACAAGCTCCCCAAACCTGCCTGGGCACTTGCAGTGGGAAATCTCCTTAGCTAGCTTATTTTGCCTCTTTTGGCAGTGCCTTGGGATTCATCTGGGAAGTTCCTGGTGACTTTGGGCCAGGCTTGCAGGGTTGTTGGGAGGATAAAACAGGAAGAGGAGGAGGACTCTGTGAACCATTTTGGGTTCCTTGTGGGCAAAGTCTGGGCAGATGAGCACACATCTTACTTCAGTTGTGAAGTCCACAGCCAGCACCCCTCCTCCCACAACCCCAGTTCCAGATGTGAAATAGCTTCTTCATACCTAGGATGTAAGAACCAAACTATTTACCAAACTTTTTACTAACCTTTTAAAAAGCGCCATGACTATACACAATTTTCCATTTTAAACTCCCTTAAACACCATCCCAACTACAGAAATTAATTGGACTTTCCTTCTGCACTTGCTGCTCTCAGGGTGGCATCAGTGGGGGTTACTGGGTGGATCAGTGGGTGTTACTGGAAACCCCCAATCTAACTTTGGAATACTTTGCATGCCTATGCTGGAGTAAGTCTCATTGTTCCCCCTGTCTTTCCATGTAGGGATTTATATTGCTAAAAATAGGAAAGGGAATCAGCTTTTTATTCAGAAGCATGAGGACTAGAACCTTGGTTTAACCTCTAGAGACAACTGCCACAGCTCAGCCGTAAGGCACCAACGCCTGGCTTCGCCTCTCTGCCTCTCGTAGGGTAGCAAAGCGCTGAACGCCACCAAAGGAGAAGCTAGCTAATTGCGGAGAACGGCGCGGCCGAATGAGTCGGCCGTGGCCCCCTTTTGTGGCCGAGATCCGCACCGCACCTGTCTGAGAGGCGCCGCCCGAGCACGACCCCTGGTGGTCAAAGGTCGTTATCGCACTTTGCTTAAGGTGAGGTGACGAGACCGGTGGGTGGGGTTTCGTCGCCACTTTGTCAACAGTGCCCAGGGGATCTAATATATTGCCTGATATCCCGCCCTTCCTACCTCCAAGGAGCCCAGAACCCTCCTCTGTGTCTCATTCTCGCAACAGCCCTGTGGGGTAGGTCAGGCGAAGATTCAGGTGCTCGCCGCGAGCGAGCTTCAGGGCCGATTGCGCACTCGAACCCGTGTCCCCCCAGTCCCAGGTTCAACCCTCTGACGGCTACCTCAGGCCATTTCTTATGTTTACTGAACATAATTATTTTGTTAATATTTATACGCAGCTTTCCCTGCTGAAAAAGCCACCGAAAACCATGAAAGCAACACCGCGCAAGGCGCTTCTCTGAAAGAGCTTCTCCGGGATGCTGGGGTTTGCACGTGTGCCGTTGAAATACGGGGACGGGGGCGGCGGCGTCTGCGTGCACCATCGGCCAACACGGCAGGAAACAAGAAAAGTCTCCTTTAAATAGGCTGCGCACGCCTTGGGGACGTAGGGAAAGAGAGTAGGCAAGCGGTACCTAAGGTAAGGCAATCCCGCCCTGCCCCGAAGATCTTTGACCGCCGTGGGCCGCTGTCCGGCAGGCGCCGCTCAGGCGAGCGCGGCGCAGCGGCGGATGTCCGCCTAAAGAGGGCGCTGCGACCGGCCCGCTCGGCCCCGCGCGTCCTCCAATTCGCGACCCTGCCCCTTTTGCTGCCTTCGGCGTCCGCCTCTATATAAGTGGCGGCCAGGCGAGGCCGGCTCGTTGCACTTGCTCGAACCGGAGCCAAGAAGGTAGAACTTGACGCCCTGCTTCGAGAGGTCGCTGCCGCCGCGCCATGGAGTTGAAATATTGGCTCTCGGCGGAGCTCCGCAAACAGAAGCTCTGCAAGGTGAGCGCCTCTTCCCCGCACTCCCTTGGCCCGTACGTGCGCCCGACCGACATGCTGGAGACGCTGCTGTGATGCCGGGACCGCTTCTGGAGAGCCGGCGGAGCCCCGCGCTGCCTCGCGGACTCCTGCCGGGAGGGCTGGCCGGCGAGGGCGTCCCTCTCCTCCTCGCTTCTCAAGGCACTCCCCCGAAGCGCAGCTGCGAGAGCCTCTCCCTGCGCCTCTGCCTGCGCTGCTGCTCCTCGCCCTTATCCGCGGTATGCTTTTACGCAACGCTTTCGCCGCGCTTCTGGGGCTGAAACAGCCCCCCGAGTTCAGAACGGAGTTTACGCCGATCCCCCCACACGTTTTTTAAAGCAGGCACGGATGGACATGCAAGTGGGGGGTGATCTTTCCCCTCCCCAAGTCTTCTTGGGCATGCTTTACGCTCCGGGAAGGCGAGGAGACGCGTGACCGTCCCCACACTTGCAGCGCTGGGGAGGGGGCCATGTAGACGGCTCTCGTCGCTTCCGACGACCATCCATTTGTAAAGCTGGGGCTTTGCGGAGGGGTCGCCGCTTTTCTGGAGAGGCGGAGGGCCAGGTGGGCCAGAGTTCTGTGGGTTCCCACCAGTTTTATTTTGGTGTAATTCTCCCCTAGCTGCGGGAGTGGGGTGGCACGGCATCCGTCCCCTGCCCGCCGCCTTCCCGAAAGAAAAATCGTGCCCTGCAGGTCCTGGCTGTGACCCCCGCCTCATCCCCAGGAAGCGTAGCCCAGTCGGGGTCGCTCTGTGCTGAGCGATGCGTGACCAAAGCGCACGGGGCTCTTTGCGCAGTCGCTGGCACGGCGTGGGGGCGAGGGAAGGGCGTCGTGCCCTCTCTCCCCCCACCAGAACTGCCCGGGGGTGCTTCTCTGCCCAGACCCCGTTCTCCTCTTGCCTTCCTCCCCATCCCCGGCATGAAGCGCAAATGGAAACCGGATACCGTTGCCCCGCCTCGCGGCTCTCCTTCAGGACTGCCAGCGAGCGCGATCTTTCCCTGGTCCTGCTGGGGAGGCGGTGGGGGACGATTGGGCCGAGGAGGGGATTCCCTGCTCCCTTCCAAGACGCACCCCAGTTCATCCGTGGGGAGCGCGAGGAAAAAGCACAGCGAGCTTTTGCGAGCGCCAAGAAAGGTGCTTTCGAGACCAGCGGAAAAGCGGCCACCGCTGGCTCCCTGCCTGCCTTGTGTGCGTGCCCTGTTTAAACCCGACTTGCTGATTTGTGTGCCTTTAGCCTGTTTTGGGGGACAAGGGGGGCTGGGAGCAACTCACAGGTGGGGATTCTTGTTCGTGGTTCCCCTTCGGGGGGCGGGGGGGGAGAGAAAGTTCATCCAAGAGGCCCATCAGCAGGAGGGGAAGGTGGCTTGTGGGGGGTCGTGCTCAGACCCCTTCTCTGACACGCAGGCTTCTGAAATTGCACAGTGGGCTCTTTCTTGCACCAACAGACTCGCACACAAATGCAGGCTTTCACAGGGACACAGGGATCTCTCTTGTGATCACACACCGGCTGGCGTGGGGGGCTCTCACAGATACTGGGGCTTTCACACACGCCTGCTGAGGCCCTTGAGCTGACAGTGCAGACGTGGGCCTGGGGGCAAAAGGGGCACGACTCTTACTTGCTGCGATGATTTGGGGTGGGGAGGTGGGTGCAGCAGGTAACCACGCACAGTGCATGATGCAGCCCTGACGGCACAGAGGGCTGAGGCGACAAGGGGACGGGCAGGCTGCTGGGAGAGGTGGCACTGCGACAACCACTGCTGATGGCTCTGTGCCCCTTCCAGGTGTTGGCCGTTGCTGGGGAACATGGGTGGGGGTGCTGCTGCCCTCAAGTGCTGCATGGGGGATTCTGGGGGCAGCTGACTGGTGGCTATGTGACGAGAATGCTGATCTGCATGGACGCCATGCCGACCCATTTTACTTTTCTATTTATTTAAAACTTTTGTGCGCTGCTCAGTTGTGCCACAGCACCTCAGGGCAGCTCACATTTACAAGGTAAAAATACAATAAAAACCATAAAACCCAATAACGACATATTAAAGACAGAATAACAATAAAATGCAAGCAGACATACAAAACAAAGAACAAATGAATAATAATGAAAATATTTTTTTTAAAGGAAGGTCATTGCCTGGCGCCAAAAAGATAGCAAGGAAGACGCCAGGTGAATCTCCTTGAGGAGAGCAATCTAGATATGGAATTTAGATTTAATTTCTATACCACCCACCAACAGGCAAAGCTCTTGCAGCTCTTTGGATGTTCTTATCTCAAGGCTTCCAGCTGAAAGTCATGTCAGGCAGGACTGGAATTCCTTGAGGTTTTCTCCCCCGCTCCAGCCCAAGAGAGCAGCTGGTACTTGTGTGAGTGTGCCCATTCACTGCACTCAGTAGTGGGGGGGTGAGTGAAGGGAGGGTGCATGGGCGGTTGTTGTTGTTAGTTGCAAAGTTGTCCATCATGACCCCATGGACAACACTCCTCCAGGCCTTCCTGTCCTGCCATCCCCTGGAATCCAGCTAAGCTCACGCCAACTGCTTCAGTGACCCCATCCAGCCACCTCATCCTCTGCCGTCCCCTTCTTCCTTTGCCCTCAATTGTTCCCAGCATCAGGCTTTTCTCCAGGGAGTCCTTCCTTCTCACTAGGTGGCCAATGTCTTGGAGCTTCATCTTCAGGATCTGGCCTTCTAAAGAGCAGTCAGGGTTGATCTCCTCTAGGACTGACCGGTTTGATCGCCTTGCGGTCCAAGGGACTCACAGGAGTCTCCTCCAGCACCACAATTCAAAGGCCTCAATCCTTCGGCGCTCAGCCTTCCTTATGGTCCAGCTCTCACAGCCATGCATTGCAACTGGGAAACCATAGCCTTGACTGTAGCACTTTTGTCGGCAGGGTGATGTCTCTGCTTTTTGTATGCTGTCTAGATTGCCATAGCTTTCCTCCCCAGGAGCAAGCATCTCTTAATTCCTTGGCTGCAGTCCCCGTCTGCGGTGATCTTGGAGCCCAGGAAAATAAAATCTGTCACTACCTCCATTTCTTCCCCATCTATTTGCCAGGAAGTGAGAGGACCGGATGCCATGATCTTAGTTTTCTTAATGTTGAGTTTCAAGCCAACTTTGGCACTCTCCTCCTTCACCCGCATCAAGAGGCTCTTTAGTTCCTCTTCACTTTCTGCCATTAGAGTGGTATCATCTAGCACAGGGGTCCTCAAACTTTTTCAACAGGTGGCCAATTGAAAGGTGGCGGCGACGGGCACAGGCCGGTGAGGTGGGGGTGTACTGGGGCATGCACGCATGCGGGAGGTGGGCGGTGGTGGCGGCTTGCTCGCTTGGAGCTCTCCCAACGAGTCCAAAACCATCTCTGAGCAAGCAAGCTGCCGCCGTGCCACCCACGTGCCTGTGTAGGCAGTGGTGGGCACGGGCATGGGGAGTCCAAAACCTCTGAGACAGGCCTGATAAATGGGCATGGCAGGCTGGATCTGGCCCACGGGCCGTAGTTTGAGGACCCATGCTCTAGCAGTCAAAATGGGCTCCTTTGGATCCATCCAGCTGTATTTTGCTTGCATGTGGACCCTTTTTAGCATTTAAGTAAGATGGGACCTGTGCTTGCTCCCCAGGCAGCACCAGGGGTCCTTGGTCTCAAAACCTGGTCCCCCCCCCTCCACAAGGGGGCCTGCAAAGTAATGTTTGCACACAGCTTCAGGTGTGGGTGCAAAGAGCATTTAAAAGTGTGTGGATGGGGCCTCAGCTTTAAACTGACAGCTTGCCTTCCTCTGTCTCCACAGGGACAAGCCATCATGGTTTCCAGAGCAAGGGATTCTGGGTGCTGTGGTTTTCTGAGGGAAGCTTGGGGCACTGATCAGATGAGGCAGTGGCCAACACCCCTGTCCAAAGAACTGCTGGATCCTACATGCACCCACGTGTGCCAGACAGGGAGCCACTGATGCTTAAACCGGCAGCAAACCCCCCAGTCCTCCTGGTGTTTACAAACATCTCTCCTTCCCGATCAGTCATGCTGGGGTCAGAACTGTTTGCATCCTGTTATAGTTGGTCATAGTGATTGGCCTTGCTTTTCTCTTTCTGTTGCTTATATTTTTGTTCCCACTTGTCTCGAGGTCACAAAGCTGGCTGTGGAAATGCTGCAGGCTCTCCAAACATGTTTTCTGAGGATTCTTTCAGTTCCAGTAGCTGTCTTCTACATCAGGCCTCCCGTGGATGGATTGGGGGGGGGGGGGAGTCCTCTTTTTTAAACAGATCCCGCAATTTCCATGCCTCCCTCCCTGTAGCTGCATCTCATGGGCACTGACCATCTAACATGACTGGTGTGGGGGGACACGGAGAGGATGCGTGATCAGCATGTTTACTGTGCATATGTTTGAAGTGCTCTCTCGGTGTCCTGAACAACAGGTCCCATTGTTCCCAGCCAGCAGAGACCCTGCCCCATGTGTGTTCCTGGGGTAACAGAGAAAACGCCACACATGAGCCAAAAAAAACCCTGCATGGCCATGCAGGTTTTGAGGGTGGGGGCTCTTAGCTTTTTCCAGCAGGGGGGGACCAGAGTCTCTCCTTAATTTGATTTCCTGTCTTTCCTGGATCGAATTCCTTTCTTTCCCGGCCACCTTCACCGGCCACTGGGTGTCAGTGACGGCCCCATTCCAGTTTTGAGCGGACTCCCCAAGATAAGCCGGTCTGCAACAAAATACTCCGGGTGAGCCTGTGCCTGTGCATTGGGGCACCGCCTCTCCCCTCTGCGGGGTCCCCTTCTTCGCAAGGTGCTGCTGCTGCCTGGCCAGTCTGTCTGGCAGGTAACCTGGGAAGGCCACAGTGGTGCCTGCCCCTGAGGCAGGATGACTGGGTTTGTAGTCCAAAGGGTGAGGGGGGTCAGAATTGTTGCTGTAGTCATCTTAGAACACGCCTGCCCTGCTGTCCTTTGGATGCTGAGACTGTATTCCAAAGCCTCTGGACGCACATAGGCTTCTGGGTTCTCCCTGCCAGCCTTACCACAGTCCTGCTGTCTCTGCCCAGCCGCACTTTTGGCGGTGGGGAATAGTGGGCCACCAAAGTGGACATGGGTGCTGACCCAGCCTGTCCGACAGACGAGGTCACACCGTGGCTCAGCCTGGCCACCAGCCTGTGAAGCCCTCTCAGACCACTCGGGGCTGCGCTCAGCTGACTGGGCTGTTGGCCCAATCATGCTGGGTCCACCTGGGGTGGGGCTGCAGGGGGTCCTTCTCGGTCTTGCCTGGAGGTCCCTGGCACTGACCTGGGGGCTGTTTTATACAAAATAGGGGCCCACCCTGGAGTTGGGTCCTTGCACTGAAAAAAAATTGAATTAAAATGCAAGTTTCCAGTCCTTGAGATGATTCCAGCAGGAACGGGGCTGGGGCACAGGGGAGACCGAGCTGTGCAGTGTGTGCAGCTCAGCTGCTGGGAGTTGCAGTCCAAAGAGCCTCACAGGTGGGGCAGCTGTTCTGGGTTTCAGGAAGCCTAAGCTGGGGCTGCTAGGAGTTGAACAAGCCACGATTCTAGTCTCCATGGCTCTGAGTAATGAGCAGGTTTAAGCAGGGGCACAGGAAGTTCCCTTCTGCCAAGGTTCAGCGGGGTGTGCTTGGCTCAGCCCTGTCTATGCTGATGCTGCATCTGTCTGGTTGCTTCTCCTACGTCTGGCTTGTGCTCTCCTTGGCAATTGCCGGCTCCTGCTGGTGAGAGATGCCCCATTAGACCTGTCACAGTCCTTGTGAGTTCTGCGCCAAGCAGAGGTGCCACTCGCTCAGTTCAGTTCAGCTCGGCTCAGCTCGGCTCAGCTCTTGCTGCCTCTGCTCCCCTTGGCGCAGTTTCTCAGATGGGCCTAGAAACTCTCTTGCAACTCTTAGCAGAGATTAGGCTGGGCTGAGAGCTGGTGCTGTGCCCTGTGGAACTTGCTGGAGTACGTGGAATCCTGATTTTGGTCTAATTGCAGATCTGCTTTGGGGAGCTGAGCTTCTCTTCCTTGGACTAAGCATAATACAAGTTTCCAGTCCCCATGGTCCTGATTTAAACAGGAGCATGGTAGGGTAGTTAGATCAGTGGGCCACAAGGGGAGTGGAGTGGTGTGGGCAGGTGGGGAAGAGGCAGGCTTGGTTCAGGGTCTCCTGTAGGGCTTAGCTCCGTTTCCTCTGGACACCTCAAAGCTCTTTTGGCAAAATGACCCAGCACGCCCCAGCTGTGCGGCTTACAGCAATCCTGTGAAGTAGGCCAGCACGTCCTGACACAACTGGTAGAAGGGGAGTGCTGACTCCGGGCAGGTACCTACCTTGCCGTGGCTACCTGGTGAGTTGATGGCCAAGAGGACGCTTGACCTGGGGGCTTCAGTGCAGCATTTCTAAAGCCAGCTGTCACCTCTCAGATATGTTGTGGGATCCATGTGAAAGGAAGGCTGTTGGAGCACACTGGGATGGATTTCCTAGTCTAGAGGCCTGAAGAGAATTTAAAATGTGTGCCATTTTAAAATGTCTCTACTCAAAATTCAGACATGCTTTTTGTGGCATCCTCTTTCTTTCCACCAATGCCCAAATACTGCATGGACTGTGGAGGCTGCCCTTAATACTCACCCCCAGATGTTCCCCGGGGGCGAAACTCTTAGGGGAGGGAATCCTGGAAGGCTGGCGGACCTGAGGAGCTCTGTCCTTCTTATACTCCCATCTGCCTTTCCAGGTGAAGGAGCTGGTGCTGAATAATTGTCACTCACTTGATGGGGAAATCGATGGCCTCGACCCCGAGTATGAGAACCTCGAAATCCTCAGGATGAACAATGTTGGCCTCCTTTCTCTCTCCAGCATCCCAAATTACAGCAATCTGCGTAAGGTAAGCCGCAGCGGGGTGGGGTTGTGGCTCCAGGGTTGTGGCAGGGATCCTTTCCAGGAGAGCCAAGCTGTCTTCCTTGCCAACATCTAAGGGGCAGAATTGTTTGAAGCACCTCACAAACAGCACACACTTAGTCTGACTTCCTTAATGACAGCCCTGCAAGGTAGGTCAGCATGTCGGGGTTGGGAGCTTTGTCTCGGCACTGAGGAAAATCTGGGCCACAGAAGACAGGAGATGGACACAAATGAAAAATGAGTGAGGGATAAAAATTGGTGCCTTTCCAAAAAAATCCAGAAAACTAGATTTTTTTAAAAAAATCCCACTTAATAATTCTGGAACCTTTCCTTTGACTTTTCAGTCATCAGCTTGTCATTTTTGCTTGCACAGTTGCTTTGGGAGCAGGGTGAAGGCAGAAATGCCGTTCAGACAATAATGCATGTTACAACAACAAGCCACGGTTCAACAATATCCCACACTCAACTCAGGTTCAACAGTTGCGGGTTCTTGTGCTACCTGAACATTAACCACAGCAGCCCATGTAGAGAAGTTACAGTTCGTTGTGTGATGCGGACGGTGTTGTCCCGGCTGGGTTTGGCGACACACAAGCCCATGCTTCAGTGGCAACCCGTCCTTATCCCCTCGGGGTGGGTTATCAACTTGCGAGCCCATTCAGTAAAAAGACAAAATTGTCTCCTGGGCACCTTACTCGGGTCACAATCCTGTACAACTTGCCTGAACGCAGTAGGCTGCACACAACTCCAAGGAACTTGCTTCTGAGGTGACACGCCTGAGGAGAGCTGCCAAAACCTCGTAGCGGCCCGGGTGCTGGTCTCTCCAGATGGGTCCTCTGTGTACGTGTATTTTAATGGAAAGCATTGAAAATGTATGTTGTGAGACTAAGAGACACACACAGTTGTCAGAGAAAGAAAGAAAGAAAGAAAGAAAGAAAGAAAGAAAGAAAGAAAGAAAGAAAAGAAAAGAAGGAAGGAAGGAAGGAAGGAAGGAAGGAAGGAAGGAAGGAAGGAAGGAAGGAAGGAAGGAAAAAAAGAAAGAAAGTAAATCTCTCGTAGTTAATTTATTTGTTTTGGTGGTTCAGAACATTTTTCAGGACGTTTCAATGGCAAACTGAATTCAGATTAGTAGTTTAAATCAACCCCTTTCCTTTTAATCAGCTGATTTTAATCAGTGGCTTAAATCAGCTTGATTTTAAATCAGAAGCTGTTCAAGGAATGATATTAGAAAAGACAAGAGCAGTCAGAGGCTGGAAGGACATGTAAGAGCCAGTCCCACCTCGCAGAGTTGTTTTGGAGGCAGAATGGAGAGGAGGGTTCTGTCAACCACTTTGAGTTTCTTGAAGGAGAAAGAGATGGGATGTAAAGGTAACAGTCCCATCCCACAACCCCCCCCCCCCGCTCCTCTCCACAGCTGGAAGTGAGTTACAATAATATTTCTGGAGGCCTGGAGGTCCTTGAAGAGAAGACTCCCAACCTGACCCACTTGAACCTCAGTGGGAACGAAATCAAAGACATCAGTACATTGGAACCCCTGGTGAGTCATTCTCAATTCCAGAAAGGTCTGTAGCAAGCAGTGGGGGTGTTCATTGGCAGGCATCCTTCCTGTCCTCATAACAGTGTTTGGCTGCTGAGGTGGCTTCACATTCCTGTTCAAGTATCTAGTCCTCAAGGTTGCAGAGACTGTGCATGTCATGAATCAGGGGGAAATGCATGTTGAAATCTCAGCTCTGCACAAATTCCCTTTCATGGCTCTTTTGTCTGATTGGTGGCTAGCCCCATCCTGCTTCCCCCCCCCCCCCCCCGAAAGAGGAATCCTAAAGATACTTCCTAATATGCATCATATAAGATGTGGTTTTATCAGCAATCACATAATCAGCAATCAGCAATTATTTAAAGCACCCAAGTCAGGTGCTCTGGGCACACAAACAAAAGGAACAGGTCTCTGCTCTCAAGGAACATGTAGTCTGAAACGCAACACTAAAAGACACAGCACAGAAAGCGATCACCATGGCTTCCCTGTGAGGCATATCTGGGGTCTGGTTTCCTTCCTGGGACTGGATTGTGTGTCAGAGTGGTTCAGGGGGCTACATTCTGGGCTGGGAGTGGCCATTAGCAAACAGCTGTTGCAGCTTAAACCTCCTTCAAGTTCCTAGACCTCAGGAGAACTACAGGGCACTGGGAGATGCAGGGGAACTGGTGGGCTTGAGAAAGGGTCTGGCCATTTCAGGAGCTCCAAATGAGCAGGTGTGACTGGGGAACAAGCAGCCCTCATTTCTTTGGCCTCTTCTGGGATCTGACTGTGGACCTTGTAAGTTTCCACTTATGGGGTCCTGGGCTGTGGGGTGCCTAGCCACAGGTCCTCCACCCATCTCCGGGGCAGACCTTGCCCAGCTCACCTCCAGCATCTCTGCAGAAAAACCTGCCCCACCTCCAGAGCCTGCAGCTCTTCAACTGCGAGGTGGCCACACTGGAGGCCTACCGGGAAAGTGTCTTCACCCTCCTGCCTCAGCTCACCTACCTGGACGGCTTCGACAAGGAAGATGACAAGGAACCCGCCAGCTCAGACACAGAAGGTGGGTCCACTTCCACCTGCTGAAACAGGCAGGGCGCTTTTCTTTCCGGGAGGAGGGGAGACAGCAGGTCATAGTGGTGGAGCACAGGAATGAAGCCACTCCTGGGGGCTGCGCTTGCCCCCTAGCTGCAATTCTCAGCCAAGCCTTCCTCACAGGGTTGTTGTAAGGATAAAATAAAGAAGTGGACACTCTTTTTTTAAAAAAAAATATGTTTGAAAGCAAGCAGCACGGTGAAATAGACAAAGTTCAAAACAAATCTATCCTGTACAATCAGCCCCCAAAATCTATCAGCATTCCATAAAAATGTAACACAAGATAAATCCTTAAACTATACAGCAACAAATCCTCCAGTCATTTCAGATCCTCTGCAGCTTCCCGTCTTTTCTAAACACCTCAGATCCACTTCTCATGCTGCACAAGAATTTCTCCATTCTTTTGTTGTTGGGGCTCCGGTGATCTCCACCCAGCACCAACTCCAATCCTAACTCTGAAGACCGCTTTCATTCTCTTAGAGTTAAAACTCAGTTTATTAATATTAATTGATAATAACTTCTTTCTGTCTCTAAAACTCAATCTGAGGAGCTCAGACAACTATCTCTTTTCAAATCTGTCATCAATTTTCCGGCATCCAATTCATAGAAACCGAGAAACAGAGCAAGTCAGAAGGGGCCTCCTGGGCCATCTATTCTGACCTCCAGCACCAGCCGGCCCCACTCACGACATGCCCACCATGTACATGTCCAGCCTATCCTTGAACACCCGCACTGATGGGGCCTCAGCGACCGCTCGTGAAAGCCCATTCCACACCCTTGGGGTCCTGACTGTCAGGAAGTGCTTCCTGGCATCCAAATGGAACTTGGGTTCCCTGAGCTTTGCTGCATTGGAGCGCGTCCTGCCCTCCTCTGCAGGGGAGAACAGGTCTCTGCCCACGTGTGTGACACCCCCTCACATTCCTGTGTGTCGCCAACAGATCCCCTCTGAGTCTCCTCTTCTCCAGGCTGAAGAGACCCAGTTCCCTCAGTCTCGCCTCATACGGCATCCCCTGCAAACCGGCCAGCAACCTTGTGGCCCTGCGCTGCACTGACTCCAACCTGGCTATATCCTTTCTGTAACAAGGGGCCAAGAACTGAGCACAATACTCCAGTTGCGGGCGCACCAGAGTCGTATAGAGTGGTGGCATTCGCCCTCTTGACCACCGCATCACACTGCTGACTTATGTTCAGCCTGCAGTCAACCAGCACCCCGAGGTCCCTTTCACAAGTGCTGCTCTCCAGCCACTTGTCCCCTAACCTGCACTTATGACACCCCTTCCTATGCCCCAAGTGCAAGACCTTGCACTTATCCACGTTGAACCCCATCCTGTTGTCTGCTGCCCAGTTCCATAGTCTGTCCAGATCCTTCTGCATCTGGAATACCTGCTCCTCAGTTGTGGCCCCGGTTTTAGTACCGTCTGTGAATTTGATCAGCAGACTGTTCACCCCTTCTTCCATGTGGTTGATGAAAAGATTAAACAGGATCGGCCCCAGGACAGAGCTCTGGGGGACCCTGCTTGTCACTGGCCACCATCCCAATGATCCACTCTGCTTTCGGTCAGTCAACCATGCCCTAATCCACTGGACAGTGCTTTGGTGTATCCCAAAACTCCTCAGGTTCTCCACCAGGATATCATGGGGCACTTTGTCAGAGGCCCTGCTGAAATCCAGGTATACCACATCCACTGCATCCCCTCCATCCAGCCATCGCAAAACCTTGTCATAGAATTCCACAAGGTTTGTCTGGCAGGACCTGTTTTTGCGGAAGCCGTGTTGTGTGGCTGTCAGCCTCCCTTCCCTATCCAGCATTACTAGATCTCTCTCTGTTAGGAGCCTTTCCATTGTTTTTCCTACAATGGACATAAGGCTAACAGGTCTGTAATTCCTCATGTCCCTTCTACTACCCTTTTTGAAAACTGGGGCCACTGACGCCACCCTCCAGTCCTCTGGAATTTCACCCGTTCTCCACGAGGCCTCAAAAATGGAGGCCAGCGGGTGTGAGAGAACCCCTGCCAACTCTCTAAGTACTCTCGGGTGTAACTTGTCAGGGCCTGGCACCTTTGTAATGTCCAATGCCCTGAGGAGCCCCTCAGCTTCAACCTCTTCTCTTCTCTTCTCTTCTCTTCTCTTCTCTTCTCTTCTCTTCTCTTCTGCAAGTCCACTTTTCACATTTCTTAATACCTATAAGTAAACTACAATTTGAAAGTACAGCTTAAAGCACAAGAATTAGGGGATGAGAGTTAAGACAGACAGACAGACAGACAGACAGAGGGGGGAGAAAAAGGACAAAAATGGATAAAACTAGTTAGGCTTCTACCAGTGTCAGAATTATTAGTCCCCTTCTATCTGTATTAAAATATTAGTTTGTTAAGAATTGGCATTGTTCCAACTTTTATACTAAGGAGCCTTGACTTTCAGCCTTCTCCAGGTCCAATAGGCAGAGCTAATGGTCTTAGTGCGTCATCTTTGTTCTTTAGGATTATTTATTTTTTATTCTTGAGTGGGGCCAGGACCAGCGAAAAACCTCAAGTCCTATCAGGGAGATATGATTGTTCCTTAGAGCAAATCATGCACAGTTTATATCAAAAACAACAACAAAAATTGCCTGGCTTGAACAACCAGCAACTCTTTTAAAAATGGTGACACAGAGGGAGAGAACCGTATCTTTTGCTGCAATGAGCTTCAGCCAAGGTCATTTTATAATGTCCAGGATTCTTGAATAAAAATACCAAACAGTTTACAGCTGCAAAATTAAATAGAAGAGTACCCCCTTCAGAGTCCTTTCCAAGCAGAGAAACAGAAATGCCTTAAAATGTAGATTGCAACCAATATCACAGCCATAAATCTCAGCTGTCTGAAAAGCACTGTTGTCTCTTTCTCAGTTCAAAAGACACAATTAGGCACAAACATTCTCTCTTCTAGTATTTTCATACCAAGGTCAGTTTACAGTATTCGTGATTCTTAGTTCCAGAGTAGAGACATTAAACAACTTTGCAGACGAGACAACCGTCTATCAACAAGAGATCATCCGTTTCAGAGTCCATTCAAAATATGCAAACAAAAATGCCTTAAGACTTCAAGCTGCATCAACTTGGTGTGTTTTTCCCTTGGGAAAGAAAGTCATATAATATAAAAAGAAATAATAAGGAAGGGAAGGGAAGGGAAGGGAAGGGAAGGGAAGGGAAGGGAAGGGAAGGGAAGGGAAGGGAAGAAAGAGTAAGTGTGTTGGGGGGTCAACTTTGTTTCCAGTTTTACTTTATCAGGGCATCAGCACTGCAGACCAAAACTTGACCTATAGAGAGGCAATTTATACTCAGTCATAAGGCAGAAAGCAGCAATATTCATTGCTCCTTCATCAAGTCACCATTCTCCCAGAATTCCAGAAGTGGAGGCCCTTCTAACTCGTCCTGGGCTCCTTGGAGGGAATGAAATCCAGGATGTAAATATAAGTTCCTATATTAATGGTTATTAAAAATATAATATTACTGTAAATTATGTGAGTGATTCTGCATTTTCTAGCATGGAATCAGCACACAATATTGTTAATGATAATTTAGAAAAGAAAATAACTGTTCTAGCCATGATAAAAGTGTTTTTTCAATCATTTCCCTTCAAAGGTCTTCAGGGAAGCTCTGAAAGCCCAGCAGGTTTGCTTGCCTTCTCTGAATCTGGGCCTTTTGGGGGGGGGGGTCGTTTTTAGGGTTTAATGGGCCTTTTATCGCAAGGGGCTTCCCTGGAGTGTGCGCATGTCATGTGCGTTGGTGACCCCACCAGGGTTTCCTCCACAAAGGCTTCCATGCCATATTTCAGGAGGGTGAATTGAAGCAACGCATGCACAGCGCGTTTGCGCATCCCTGACCCTTCAGAGCAGCTACATGCTGGGCTCCCTGGGGAAAGCAGCCCTGCCCGGCAAGCCTTTGGCAGGGAGTCCTGTGGCCCTGGAGCAGCCACCAAAAAAGGTCCTGCTCTCTCGCTGCAGTCACGTGGCCTCTGATGGCAGTGGGCTGAAGGGCAGGGTCTCTTGCTCCGAGCCATGGAAGGCCCCTCTTTGGACCCCAGGGTAGTGCTGGGCCACATCAGCCTTCCCTGAGCTGGGGATGATGGGAGCTAGGAGTGCCATGAATGGCACTGGGTGTATGGGGTGAAGGTCTGACTCATTTCTCACGCGGCACCTTCCTTCCCTCCCTTCTGCCCCAACTCCAAATCCCTCTTTAGAAGAGGAAGATGACAATGGCTATGAGAATGACTATGACGATGACGATGACTATTACTATGACGATGAAGATGACTATGAGTATGCAGATGAGAATGAGTATGAGTACGAATATGAATATGAAGATTATCAGTTTGAGGACACAGTAGATAGCGAGGAATATGGAGATTACTGTTACTGGGACGAGGAGGAGGATGGGTCTGACGATGAAGTAAGTCTGTTCTCCACCCACTAAATAGCCCACTGTGGCTTCCAGGCTGCCTCTGTGTGTGTGTGTGTGCGTGTGTGTGTGCGCGCGCGCCTGTCCCCTATCCTGGTGCCTCCTAGGGGCATTGCACTAATGCATCCATCCTCTCCAGGCTGGAGAAGGTGCTGTGCCAGTTCCCGTGCTCTTTGTCCCCGCTGCTGTCTCCTTCTCGAAGGCAGCAGTGTTCTTTTCGTGTGTGTTTTGCCCCAAGCAGCAGGGACCTCTGCTCTACCACTGCTCCCTTTAAAAAATAAGGCTAAGCAAGACTCTGGTCCTCAGGGTTTTCACTCAAGGGCTGCTGTGATCAGGAAAGTGGGGCCAAGCCTCACGTCAGATCAAAATCCTGGGTCTGCCTGGTTGTGTCTTGCTGAGACACGGCCTTCCAGGTCTTTTGGATTACCACTCCCACAATGTCCATGCTGGCTGGGGTTTGTGGGAGTTGTAGTCCCTCCAGTTCATCAGACTTGGGAGTTGAATCCCAGAACTTCTGCATGCAAAATGGGTCCTGTCACTGTGCTTCACCCCTTGCTCCAATTATCTGTTTTTGGGTGTATTATCAACAAGCTCAACAGTTGGATCCTCTTGATTCTGAGCCCAGGAAGGCCCTTATATCATTCCTTCCCCCTTTTGTATGCATGGCTGGGGCATGGAACTGCTTAGAAGCAATGTCTGTTCAAGACTGGTGTGGAGATTTGGACCAAGGTTTCATTTACTCCAGTCTTTAGTTGGGTCTTAAATCAGATGTTGAATGCCCTGTGCCTTGTTCATAAGGTATTTTTAAAGGTTTTAGTCTTCATTAAACTGCCTAGAGACATTCAGCTTTTGGAAAGCATAGAAAAGGAATGAATGTTTTTGTATGTACGGGGCCAGTACTGTCAAACTGTGACTCTGCAGAGTAGGGAGGAGGTGTTGATGTGTTGGGATACCAAAGTGGGAGTGATAACTGTTAATTCTCTTCCATGCAAAAGGAAGGGGAAGAGGAGGAAGAAGAGGAGGAGGAGGAGGAGGAGGAGGAGGAGGAAGGAGAGGAAGGTGGGTATTATTTGTAATCTTTGGTGTGTATTTTTTGTTGTGTGTACAGCAAAGATGTCTTGTTATCACCATTACTGGACCAGGTGGGGACAATAGTTGGGAGCGACTCTGAAGTCACTGAGAGTCTGAAGGCTGGCTTGGCCTAAAGACCCAAACTGGGCCAGGAAGCTGAATTCTTCCAGCTTTCTTCATTGCCCTTTAGCCAGCTACGCCTTAGAACTCAAAATGTCCCCACAAAGTAGGCTAGATAGAAAGAGGCGCATACTTGGCCTCAGGAAAAACAGCTTCAAGGTTTTAATCCCAACCTCTTAGCACAAGCCAAACTCAGGAAGGGGATGGCACATTTTCAGCCCCTCCTTCACCAGCCACAGCCTCACTGCTCTGCTCACCTGGCTTCCATTCCTGATCACCTGTGGTGAGCACTTTGAATGCAGGATTCCTGTACCTCCACACCACGCCCCATCTGGTTATTGGCTGCTTTCAGGGGCTGAAAAAGGAACCACATGCCCTTTACTCGCCTTTTTTCCCTCTCCTCTCCTCCCAGACCTCCGACAGGGTGAGAAGCGGAAACGAGAAAGTGAGGACGAAGGAGAAGGTGTTCCTGATGGAGAGAAGAATGCAGGGGATTGAGTGCAGCCCCTCCTGCCTCTCCTGCACACTCACCAGCCAACCTGCTTCTCACTGTGGCTCCTCTGAATCTCACTGTCTCTGTCTCTCCCCCAACCCCCACTCCACCATAAGTCTGTGTAATACCCCCCCAACCCCAGTTGCTTTCCCATCTGCAGACTTACCCACCCATTAGTAGGGGGCCCCAACACCACACAGTGTGTCTCTGTGTGTATATTAGAAGTAGAGTCTGGCCCTGGCCCTCTGTCATGTTTTTCTGGCCTTATTTTTCTAGCACTCTGCACACCCCTCCAAATTCAGTGCTCACATCTTGCATGTGTGCCCACACCCCCATTTTGGGTATTTTGTGACCAAATTCTCACTCTGTGTGACGGGGCTTATGGTGACCCCGCAGCCATGTTTCTCTTCCCCACCACTGTGCGCACAAGTGGGGCAGGCCTTCCTCTAGTGGAGCGGAAGCTTCTCCCACAAACTGCTGCCCCGCCCCCCCCAGGGCAGGCACCAAGCTCCCAGGCAAGAGCCCAGCTCTCTGGAAAGACAATCAAGAACTTTTTCAGGGGAGCTTGTTCCTGTGGGTGCATGGAAGAGTGGACTTCCCCTGAGTTTTAGAACTGGGTGGTTCTTTCTTTCTTCAGGTTAGTCTTTTGTGTGCTGCTGTAGATGGAGGACACCTGCTTTGATGCGCATCCCCTGCCCCCAACTGCTTCAATCCCTTCTAGCCCATTTTAAGTCTCTTTCTTTTTAAGAAGGCAGTCAGAGCCAGGTGCCCTGACTTACAGGGGCAGATGAAACAACATGATTCAGGCTTCCCAGAAGTTGCAAAATGCCCATTAATCTTGGTTCTTCACTGCAGGGGGAGGGGTTGGGGTTAGGGTTAGTGTTTAGAAATAAATTCCATTTCCTGCAGTGTTAAATGCATATTACTCCCACCAACCAGAAAAGCAGTTCAGAAGCCTGAACTCTTAATGCAGCCCAAGCATTTAAAAACAGGCCCAAAGGATAAATTGCAATGAATGAAATGCAGTGCAATTTTAAGTCGGGGGTAGGCAAGCTGGGACTGTGCCAATGGGTTGGATACTACTGACCATTGGCCAGACAGATGGGAGTTGTAGTCCATTGCTCCTGGATGGTGCCTGGATAATGCCCCACTGACAGCCCTCCATAAAAGGAAATTAAAACATTTATTTCCCCTCTTCCATAAAGAGCTACAATTAATCAGGTTGTGGGGGGAAGACTGCCCCACAAGCATGATTATGGTGGGGAGAGCACCTTAATCTCTTTTGTAAAAAAGCTGGAATTTAAGAAATCTTTCATCTTTTACCCTCTTACAGTCCCCCTTCTCAGCCTTCAGAACAATCCTATTGAATGGTTCCCCCACCCCTGCCAACCTGGTACTCTGCCAATGTTTTGGACTACTATGCCGAGCAGGCCTGACCCTGGGCAAGCTGGGGATGATAGAAGTTGAAGTCCCAGACATTGGGAAAGTTGCTGTAAAATTTGAGCCAAATAGTTTTTCAGGGTCTTTTGCACAAAATCAAGCCATTTTAAGAGCTGTGGTGAAATCTTTCCTGTGATGAGAGCTTGTCCGTGGTCTTCTCATCCAGGCATCCAACTATGGGTGTTTGCGTTTGCATTTTCCTCCTCCTCATTAACCTAGCTGAAAACAATATAACTAGCAATATATGTTATTCTATTCTATTCTATTCTATTCTATCTTATTTTATTTTATTTTAGGTTTTCCATCTTTGATATGTTTTATTTTATTTTCAGTTCTTTTTAAATAGCTCGATGTGAGAAAAAGAAAAAAAAAGTTTAATGAAAGACTTCAGTTTATAAAAACCAACTGTGCAATGAGATGGTGATTTTTACTAACAGTGTTGGCCATTGACATTTATGTCGTCCTTGTGAGGCCAAAGGGGAGAGTGATCCTTAAAAGATTAAAAAGCTACTAGACCTCATGGTCTTTTTGTTCTTTTCATTTCTTTTGTTCTTGTGGGAAACATGGACAGGGTTCTGAAAGTGAAAAAAGAAGCTGTTTCTGATCTGTTGGAGAGGGCAAATAAGAGGGAGCTCTTGAAAGAACTGAAACTGAAACAACTTGCAGACCATACTGTAAATGTTTTGTTGGAATGCAGAGGAGAGCCAGGAGGAGGAGCTCTCCTGGTGGACTTGCCCTCATGCAAAGCCCATAAGCAGGTCAATTAGGAATGCGCCTACCCAGGAATCAGGGCCTCCTCATCGGGAAGGGAATGCTAATCCAACGCAGGAAACCTTGGGGTTATGCAGCCCTTTTTATTTAACTTAGAAGTCGGCTGGGCAGCGGCTGTGTTCACATCAGCCTCTGGACCAGACTCAGAACGTAACATCTCCACTTGCCCCTCCTGCCACTTGCACATGCAAGCTGTTCAGCACTCCAACCCCTATCAGCCTCAGCCAACATAACTAGTAGTTAGGCATGATGGCAACTGGGGGTCCCCGAACATCTCAGGGGCCTTCCACAGTCTTCAACCGGCTGCCCTGCAACAGGCCTTCTTGTTTATTCAAGGAACTGGCATTTCCAGGTTGATCATGGAGGTTTCACGTTGGTTCTGGTGGCTAACATCTCTCAGGCCTACTGTTCCAACTTCTAGGCTCAGCTACTCCCTTGTTTGGCCATTTCTGAAGGGAAGGGGTGGGGGTCTGGCTGTGGCTCTCCTGCCCAGGGCCAGATTCACTTCCGGGAAGCTAGGACTCTTTCAGTGTCCCACTGGGCATGAAGGGCTGCCCGAGACACTGTTTATCAAGCATGCAGCCTCGGGCTCTTCCTAGACTTAGGAGGTGGGGTCAGTGTTTCAGAACTGGGGATGTTGGATGTTCTTCGGAGGCAAAGTTGCCCTTCCAGCACAAAGGCAGGCAGAAGGGGTGGGAGGTGTTTTGACCCTAAGTTTTGTCCTCTTTTCCAAGCATCTTGGTGATGAAGCATTTCCCTTCCGGTAGGGTTGTACCTAAAGATCACCCACTGCCCCAGTCTGAGACCCTGGAGAGGCCCAAGGCTCGGTAACTTGGAGCTAGGCTGAATGGCAGCAGCTCCCTGTACTTGGCCCTCTTGAGAACCACGAGGACTGGAAACAGCTTATTCTGAAGAGCAGGACTGTTGTTCAACTTGTGTACGAAGTCCCATCTGACACCCATCATTAGGGAGGGCTAGAAAAGACCCTTTTCCAAACCTACCCCCCCCCCCCCACATACACACAAATTCAAATCGGCAGCAAAGTTGTCTAAAAATGATGTTGGGTGTTTTGGTTGGGATCGGGCACTTGAGGGATGCTCTCCCATTCCTCTGAAAGTGTAAAAAGCATTTTAAACCAGGGAAATGTAAAAATTAAAGGAAAGGTGCTGGGGTCCACTGAACTGAAAAATAATCTGAGATGCCATGGCATATTCATTCCGTGGATGTGGCACAGCCCTCTCTCTGGGCATAACAAAGAAAGCTAGAGTTGTGAAAAAGAATTATGTGAGAACCTTGGGGAAGACGGGCCACATAGCTTTGTGCTTGGCCGGTGGCCCACTACACCTAGAAAGCTTGCTTCAATTCTCCACCTGTCATGTTCTTGCCATTTATTCTTCCACTGCTTCATATCTCTATCCATCTTATCCCAAACTCTGCAAAGATGCAATTGATTGTATCTTGTTTTCCTCTTCAAGTGAGGCTTGGTTTGGTTTTGTAACACGCAATACGAAGTGGGTGAGTAATAACTTTTGAGATGCACCTTGCCCAAGAGAGCAGCATTTGGGGCCCTTGGGAAGCCTGGGAGACCGGTGGAAATGGGCTTTTCTCCTTTTCTTGCGTTTGCTCCCTGGCTCCCAGACGGCTCCTGGCTGCGGACCGCCTTGGAAAGAGCCAACTCGAGCAGAGTGTGTTTGTGCTGCTGATCACAAGAGGGCGCAATGGGAGCGTCTTGGTCGCAAACCTCTCCCAAGCCTTTTCTGGGGAAGGTGGCCCGGGGTCATGCGGTTCTTCAGAGAGGGGTTTCTTCTCCACACACCCCTCGCCCCATGCAACTTGAAAAAATGTGCAGGGCAGATTGGGCGCAGGAACACCGTTCTCCATCGCAGGTGGAGATGTACCACAACTGAGCTGTATTTCATTGCTATTGCTAGGTTTTAATTTGTTATGTGTGTGTCTGGGGAGCACATGGGCACCACCATTGCGGTGGTAATGGGCAGGGGAAGATATGGCAGTAGGGGGTCTAACAAGCCAGCTAAGAAGAAGGAGGAACAGATGTCTCGTATCTGTCCCCTCTTGTGGTTATTCCCCCAACTGGAGGGTTCTGGGTAGTTTTATCAACTGCCCCACGGGCCTGATGGTGCTGTTGTTGAACACCAGGTCCATCCACGATAAAACATCCCTCACCCACAATCTAATCTGATGAGGGGACCAACCTGGCATGCATTACGGAGACCTGGGCGGGGGAAGGGGGGACTGTCTCCCTTACTCAGCTGTGCCTGCCCGGGTACCTGGTCCAGCACCAGCCATGCCCTGGGGGGAGGGGAGGGGGGTCGTCCTGGTTCTTCAAACTTCAATTTCCCTTGCAGGGCTTCCTGTCCCCTCGAGATTGGGTCTAGAGTGTTTGTACCTGCACCGTGGGCCTCTTCTGGCATACCATGCACCCTGCTGCCCATCAGGCTCCCTGCCTGAGCTGACGGAGACCGTCTCGGACCTGGTGTTGAGGACCCCCAGGATGTTGGTCCTGAGGGACTTCAATCTCCATGCTGAGGCTCTTCTGACCAGGATGGCACAGGACTTCATGGCTTCCATGACAGCCATGGGGCTGTCTCAAAATGTCACCAGCCTGACCCATGAAAGAGGTCACACTCTGAACCTGGTTTTTTTGACGGGGCAAGAAGATGATGATCTGGAAGTGAGAAACTTGTGTTTCTGACCTTTGTCATGGTCAGACCACTTCCTTGTGAGGTTTGAGCTCAGGGCTGACCTGCCCCTCTGTAAGGGTGAGGACCCCATT